GCGCGCGCGCGCGATTCCCGTGAGATTCTGGCCACTGTCGAGATTGTTGATTGATACCTCCATCGCGCGTTCATTCTTCGGTTTGATTTTGATTGATTTCACTGCTCAACTTCTCTGTCGATGGTGATTTTCACGCTCTGGCGACGGATTAAAGGGGATGTCAAGTGATGTGTCTCTTTTTTCCGTTGCTCTGCGCCTTCAGAAACATTTGAGACGCAGCAAATTCAAATGCAAACCGGAAGAATATAAGAGAAGAAAGAGCTGTCAGGAGCAGCACACTGGCCTTGTATAGAAATTCCTGGGAGAAAATATGCAAAAATGATGTTGTTTCAGTGGCGAACTCAACTTGAGTCCCGAGAGAGGAAAATATTCAGAATATTCCGAGTAACACTTTCGGCCACTTAAATATTCATCAGACAGCGGTATTGAGCTTTTAATCAGGTCTGAGTGCCGAATTCCAAGGCAGCATTTCCCAAGGAAATTGGCTAATCTGCCTTGCAGAGGAAGGAAAAGCGACTTGGGTTTCACCCAGCATCATTGCAGACAGTTTCACGTCTCTGTTTCTGATCTTCTCACTCTCATGTTAACATTCAATCCCTGAATCCCTGCGGCTATGAAGAGACATAAAATTTATCAACAGGAAAATTTGTTTTCTTCCCTGGTGAAGGAGAAAAAAAACAAGATTGAAGGGAAAAACATTATCAACTTTTATCAACACAGTTCAATCTCGCGCACCTTCAATCGCGGCAAAACGGGTGAAATTCCTTCAAGACAAGTCGCCAAGGGGTTGCTAATATGAATTTTTTAATGCTTCAGCATCTTCCGTCTCCGCTGCATTGCTATTCGTTTCATTGTTCAATTCAATTCAATTCAATTTGACTTAAAATTGTTCCGAAGAAAGCTCCGCTTGAGAATTTGATTTTAGAAAATATGCCCAAAGTGACGGAGTCGAGAATTCTGTACGATAACACTGCATCCCCAATATTAGCAACCCCTTGCAGCTCGCGCGTTTTGGGCAAAAATGGCGGGGAAACGTCTTTAAGTTGCGATGATGGGAGGGAAAAACAAATAATTTGCACAATATCTAATCTATCTGCAAAACAATTTATATAGCCACACCGACAGAAGGGTAATTTATTACAATTTATTTCGCTCTCATTGGCGTCTCATCCTCCGAAAAAGTGTGTGCTCGAGAAACAATACGTCGGTGGGGGTGTCGATGGGGCGCGTCTCAGCCTCTGTGGCGCAACACAAAGGCATCAGCAATAATAGTAGCAATTTTCGCCAGGGAGATGAGGTCGCCTTTCAGCGGTATCGGAAATGTGTCAGATCATCACAAAAGTGCCTCCAGAGTCCCGATGAAAAATCATCCCCCGAACAGTGATTTTCTACGCCACGGAGATATGACGCAGTGTCGCTGGGGGAGAAATTATTCCGCACTGCCATGTGAGATTCATTGAGGCGCAAGGACTCCTTTTGCCATGCCCAGACGCACAATTTCCTCGTCGGAATTGACAGCGAGTGAGAGAGAGAGAGAGAGGAAGGGAGTCAGTTGGCAATTTAGATAATCCAGACGTGACTCTGAGGCATGGAAGTCACCCACTGAATACTTCACATTCGGCACGATTCCCAATAAAAATGCTCCAATGGAGCCCTGATGGCAGGCTGATGAATTTTTATGCCAAACCGTAATTGATGATTTACAATCTTGGACGAGATGGCATTTAAGCAAAAGGGCTTCAGTTGCTCAAATATTTTCCGATCGTCAAATGACAGTGAGGAATACAAAGAATTGCGATGAAAGACATCGCAGTTTTGAGTATGAATTTGATTAGTTGCCCAATGATTTTTCATAGCTAAAATCTACATTTATATATGTTTCTGAAGTCTAACTTGAGGAGCTTCGCTCAAATCCCTCGATTGTTGTCGATTCAATTATTCGATTGTGTCTTCGAGTCGTGGAGCGTCGTTGGAAACGGTCGCCAAGGGACTACAATTTTGATTATTGTCAGTGTCCAGAGAAATCCTCTGAGACAATCGTCAATTGAGTGCAATTTGCATTTTGATGTCAGAGAGAATGGGGCGAACGGGAAATCTGCTCTCTGAGATACTTTGAGCGTCAAGAAGTGGCAGAATTTGAGGAATAAAACTCAAAGCGTATTTCCCGGGCAATTTTCCACTGAAATGAACTCGCACAGAAATCAATGGGAGAAAAGAATTGCGAACCCTCAATTGAGTGATTTGGTCGAATGATTGGAAATTGGACGAAATTTGACATTAATTCTGGTGCCCTGAAGGCACAACGAGAGAAACATTAGTTTTTCCTTTTTGGAAATTCGTTGTGGTGTGGCAAAAAGTCGGGGTGAGGGCAACAACAAAAAAAGCCACCCCACAAATAAGGGAGCTTAATGTCAAATTGTACACGTGTACAATTGGACGGCTCCCTTTTGCTGGATTTCCCTGGGATTTCCACAAAAGAATGGCAGAATTGTCGGAGGGTTGAGACATTTATTGCGCAATTGACAGCAAATTAATTCAGCACACAGACTGTCTAATCACTCACTTTTGCCCCAAGTCTGCAATTTTGTCCCAGCAAAATTGTTTTCTCCACAGCGAAAATATTTGAATTAAGCCGTTAAACGAGCGTTTGGCGTATTAAAGCGTGTTTCGCACATAAAATTGAAACGGAAATCCGACTTTTCATTTACTATCCCAAAATGTTATTTTATGTATGTTGAATGCTATGAAAATGCATGAAAATCACCAACAATTTGTCCAGCAATTTATCGCATAAATCTGAATAAATAAATCGAATTCGAATTGTGACGCATATTGAAATGAAACAAATTAAATAATGCCGGAATATCAATCCAGAGATCAAATGCCCTCTGCAATTTCCATCCGCGATGTGAGTGAAATTTGACAACTTCCTCCCCCCCCCGTCCACAATGAAAAATCTGTGCTATCGATGGTGGAGAGCCTGAGATGTGAGCACATCTGGGAGACTTCCTGTCACTGAACTCCTCTTCGCCATGGTGATGCGTCATAAGCTATCATCTTCGTCATCATCTTTGCTATTGTACAACATAATACGGCGAGTAATTTAATCTAGAGACACCCTGCCGGGCCTCCCAAAGGCGACACCGCCCCCTCAGGAGTCCCGAAGACAGCATAATGAGACGTCTCAGTGCAGGTGTTAACATGAGAGAGGCCACTGATCCTGGATCAATGCAACTACACACAATCTCATGGGAATTCGGTCTGGGAAGGGGTTGACAATTCAGCAGTTTCATGGTGGCTCTTATTGTGGATTCAAAAGGGATTCACAGTGGCAGAATAGCAGAGAAATCAACACATTTCACTGGGGGAGATATTGACTAGGGCGGGGCATTCAAGTGGGCGGGGCTTTGGAGAATTTTAAATTTATAATAATCTCTGTATATTTTCCACTACATTTCTAAATTACTTCATTAATATTGCATCATCTGGAGTTGAGAAATATATAGAGAAGGAATATACACATCCATTTTGAGGACGGTGAATTTTTCTCAGTGTACTGCATATGCACAGATGCATATGGTGTTCCGGAAGGCGGTCGAATTGCAGGAAATCCTCGGGTTTCATCGACCCGAAAAGGCACAGAGAATTGGCCAAAAAAGCCGTGTGTCTTTCCTAATTGTGCGTGGCGGGCTCGGGCAGGGGATGCGGTGCCCCTCGGGCTGTCCTTGACTTGCGCCCGGCCAGAAGGGATATTCCCAGGGTTGTTGTGCCAGCCGAGCACAAAGAACATGAATCGTACATTGTTGAGTTCCGACGGGCGTCACAGCAGAATTTATAGGATGGTGTGTGTGAGTGTGCTCTGGTGAGACAGGGACACGGTTGCACAGTTTGCTGGAATATCAAGTTAATCAGATCAACGTTCAGGGGTGCGTGAAAAGATTCCATGCTTGGATAGCTGGAATTTGAGCTTGGGAACTGAGACAATTGGGCGGGAGAATCACCCATATTCACTGTCTAATTGAATAAATGTTCAGCGATGGGATGGAATAAAGTTGGGAGCCACTCTGGACTCACACTCTCGATTGCAAAACTTTATTATTAATTTACGTAATTCATGCTGAAGCATTCAGAGTTTGGCGAGTATATCAAGGCGAGTCCCCGTGACACTCATTTCCAGCAGAATGCCCAGAAGATCAATGCTCAATCGCATCTTGTCGCACTTTTAATCAGTCGTGAAATTTTTCACGCACAATTTCCGATCATCATGCCTTCGTTAAGCTCACCTTTAGCCATTGATTCAGCACTAATTAATGCCACCTCATCCGGATGTTATCCAATTAATCGATCGAGGTGAGCGAGTTAGTGGCAAATGTAGGACAATGGGAAATTAAGGATAATCTCACGTTCTAATTTCTTATTAATCGACATTATTGCACATATTGAGATGGGATTTCTTATTAAATATTGTGGGGCGAAAAAAATCTAATTGAATTTTCGCTGTCCACTTGCGCATATCTCTCTGCTTTTCTCAATATCTCGGCTCCGAATTAAGATATCGCTATGATCTCAACGCCATTTGAAAGATCATAAAATTCTGATTATTTCTTATCTTAAGGCAAATGTCTCGAAACTTGAAAGAAATGTCGAATTTTTAGCACTAATAGGAAAATTGATCTAAAATTCATAGGTGTCCTAAGCAAATTTTCGCTACTGTCTTGACTAATGTAGTTTTGGATAATTTATGAGTCGCTGGCAAAAATGCTCAATAAATATTCCCTCCCATCGACTGGTGAAATCATAATTCTCCGGTTAATAATGGCCACGCCATGGTCAATTTTTCATTCAGGGTGACAAAATCCCACTGATTAATTTCATCTGATGTCTCATTCTGTCCCTCAATCAGAGCCGACGGCCGATAATTGATCATGATGAGATATGTCAGTCGGGCCATGTCATTCCACCTGTCTGAGTGGCGCTGGCCCCACCCCAAAAGCGCCCCGATGACTCTCCAGTCGGAGGAGAGCCCCGGCAGCCCTGAGGCTGATCGTGTGTCAGTCACACATTCGGTGGCAAATGAGACACTTTTAAATGACGCCAAGCGTCAGTCCTGAGGCCATTCATCGCGCTCTGAGGTGCAGGACAGCGGCAGGAGAGCGTCCGTGCACGTTTCAGGGCGTTTCGGGGGTTCATTGTGTGCGCATTGAAATGGGATGCTAACGAGTGTTTCATTGCACTGGAAGCCATGTCATCATCTCGGCTTGGAAATGGGTCATTATTTTCGGCACTCGATTCTGCGGGGTTTTTCTGCACTGTCAATGGACTTTGCGGAGTCTTCGCATCACCTTCAGCATATGATTTGCGAATATAATTAAGGGAGTGTAAGATGGTGTAGTTAGTCTCATAAAACATCTCAATCTTCTCACTGGTGGAGTTTTTGGCATGTTTTCCAATGGAAAAAAATGAGCCTTCGCTGAAAATTCAACTCAATTCCCATTGGCCATTATGCAAAAGTTATTACTTCTATGAGCAAAATATTCATGAGAAGAAGAAGAAAAAATTATTCTCTGGATTTGGGCCAAGAGAATCGTCAATTGAGCCATTGGTGAATATTCTCCCTGAAGTGTGATAGGAATCGCTCTGAATTCTCAACGCCGCTCTCTCTCTCAAGGATAATAAGTTTACGTATATGAGAATGCATTTCGCCAGGAGAATTCTTGCATTTTGGGGGCGAAAGGAAGGGAAGAAAAGAAGAGAAAGAGAGGAGTTTTCTCTTCCGAAATTGAAAAATTCACCCATGATAATGGTCTGAGTTTCCAGTGGCTGTGTGTGTGTGTGTGTGGCGAAATGCATGTAAATTCAAATTGCCACCCACAAGGGCTGTGATGGAGTGGATGGATGCTAGTTACACTTTATATGCATTTGTGTGTCTGTACAACGCAATAATTCTGCTCCTCTCATCATCCGTTCACCAAAGTCTGCTCTGCAATTTGCATTTTACATCAATAATCTTATCTGGAGCCACACTTACAAGGCAGGTTCAGCTGGGGAACAAGATTTTGCCGGGGGATTTGAATAGTTCTCGCTTTCTTCTCTCCGGAGACCCGCCGTCTCTGCTGTGTATATGATGGAAACCCGACACCCTGCAACACTCCAGGAAAACATCCATCGTGTGGGGTCAACTGACTCAATGGACACGCAGTTGACCCGGATTGGGTTTCGGCATTTGTGTGTGGAGGCAATAAAAATATTCAGAAGCTCTGTCACTCACAATTTCTCTAACAAGACGCGCTTTTGGCCACACCAAGGGGGAGATATTACAGTCAGAAGTGGTGTACAGCTCAATTAAAGTATTTGGAAGTCACTTTGAAAAGAGATTGCCGCAATAATTGGAGAGAAAAAATTGTTCTTCTCAACTTTCTAGGTTATGTTATGAATTTAAGACAAACTTTGCCACTAAATAACCTCCAAAATCATACATTTTTGATATCCGAAGATCATATAATTTGCAATTTACTCATGACACGATAAAAAATGAAATCTGATGATGATCAGAAGTTTTCAAAAATTGCGCCTCTTTTGAGGTTATAATCCTTTAGGTTGGAAAAGTCTATAAAGTTCCGAAAAAGGAGAAGAAAATAGGGAAAACGCATGTTATAAACACTGCTAGAGTTCTGAAGGTGTTATGAAGTGCGTGTACACTGTTTAGCCGTATTATCTCCCCTTTGGGCCGCGCTTTTGGCCACACAGTCACATCTCTTACATGGTTTTTATTGAGATGAACGAGCAGATTTCCTGCGAACAACCTCTCGGAGGCGGAAGACATTGGGCGATGATGAAAGAAGAAGCGTTTAAAATATCGTAAAGATCCGCCCACGATTGGAAATTGTGATGCTATCTGTCCAAATTTGAGGAGCATCAAACAGAATTCATGAGATTTTAATAGGATTACCTGTTGAGGATTTGCATTGGAAGCCAATAGCGCGCAATTCCATCAGAACTCTTTATGGTTGATGAAACACAAAATTCCTCTCTGTATTTGGTCAATAAATTAAGACACAGATAAACACTGGGAGACTTTTATTCAGGGTTTGGCGATTTGCAATCTCAAACAGAATTTTCCTTCATTTTTAGAGAGTATTCCTTTAACAAACTTCAGAAATAAGTGCTTAAGTATTTTGATTAAATTCTACAAGTATCGAAACATTTATCAATTAAGACAGAACTGTTCTCTTGCATAAGATATTGATGACGCACGGAGACGTGAAGAAACCAACAACCACTTGAATGCCTCTATTTATGCCATTTGACATGGGTTTTGAGGGAAAATATGACAAACACAATTGCACATGTGGAGTTAAAGATCAATTAATGAAGGCTGTTGTATTATTATCGTGGAAATACTTTACGTTTTTTCTATCCTTTTGAGAACTTATCCAATTCAAACTTCTCTCCAAGCTGTGTTTCTCCCTGAATTTTAATGATGATCACAATTTTCCCTGGAAATTATCTCAAAGAAGCTACCGTTGAGCATTTGTGCCATAAATTGAGTCTGTAGCACGGCGAATTTTTATCTTGTCATGTAAATCTTTCGAGAGGCTGTGCGTGAAAGTATCTCTCATGTGAAATTGTGATCTCCTATTTGAGATTCTTCACTTGAAATTTAATCCTCCCGCCTGGTTTTTTTTCCCCCTTGTGAAAACAATTCCTCCGTGTCTTTGACTGGCAATAAAATTAATTAATGTCACCTTTTCAATCATCTTACACTGGAATCTTCTCCTCTTTTCAGGTGAGTCTCGCAGGAATTCTTCTTCTGTGTGGCGGCAATCGACAGAGCGACTCGCCAGAGTGGCAAGTTAATGGGAATGAATGTGCTGTGGGAATAATTTAGCGGGCAAAAATGGAGACACCTCTTAAGTGAAATGAGTGACTTATGTATGGGTGAATGCGATTTATAATTTATGTGGTACTTGCGTGCAGAAAACACACATAAATTCCCATTTGGAATTCATGTGACGATGTGCGGTATCCCCCATTCCATACATTGGAAAGCGATAATGGAGAGATTGCTTTCACTTCACTTCAACTCTGGGTTGAATGTGCTTTGCGCGCGGGGGATGGGGGACAAAAAAGGGGTGGAGAAGTGCTGAAAATTGGCTATTATTCTACGTATTTAATACTATTTTATTCCTTTTCAACAGAATATTACTCAAGCTCGCAGAGGAATTTGCACAAAATCATATCGGAATAATACATTTTCTCTGTCATTTTCCAATTTATTTCCAACCCTTCCGCCACTCCTCCCCCAATTTAAACTGCAGAAACGACCGCTTGGCAGTGCGAGAAAATTACAATCCTTTTTCTTTGTGCCCATGGCAAGTGTTTGGCGAATGAAAATCGATTGGGTTGTGTGGGTGGTGAAAAATTTCTGACCTACTTTTGGCGCCCAGGCACAGGAAATGGGGTGGCGGCAAAAAAGTCGTCCATTTCGCACCCCAGCAGTTCTTCCGACGCCCGGATTCATTACTTATTTGCGGGCTGCACGTGCAAAAGCTCCACCATCGCCTCTCCCCTTCTTGAGTGTGCGAAAATGCCAGAGGAATTCGGTGGAGTGCTTTTGGAGCATCTCAAGGTGGTTGTCTTCGACCCACAAATCAATACACAAGACTTTCCTCTTAAGCGCAAATTGATCGGGTTTCGGTGGCAGTTGGGTGGGTAGTTCATCGACCAAAATGGGTGGTTTTCACCTGGAATATGCTAGGAATTTATGAGTAGTGGCGCTGTTGGCTCAACCCTTGCAAAATTCACGCTATTAACGACTTTAGCTACTTCAAACTTGCTAATATCTGAAACTATACTTTGCGCTGTTGCTGGCAAAAATCATACGCGTTCGCTATTAAGATGGAAGTTTTTAAATGTCTCTAGAAGCAAATTTGAGGAATCATGCATATTTTGCCTAAAAGTTTTCCACGATGGTTTAGATTTTCCCCATGAGAACAGTATAAACTTAAGAGTGTGTGTGTTTTTGTGACTTTTTAGGCAATTTTGTGATGTGAATTGAAATTGATTTTGACTTCTTTTTTCTCTCTGACTCGTGTCAGTGGAAAGAAAGTGGAAGTCACACACGGAAACATGAAACTTTGAAAACGAAGATTCCATCTTCAGTATCACGTTCACGGTGCGGTTTTCCGTGGAAGATTGAGGAAAGTGTATTCACCTGAGTGGTGAGGAGTTTTTGGCAAGATTTCACCCCCTTTTGTTTCTATTCATGCTCAAGAATAAGGGGTTAGTTATTGAAAGTTGCGAGTTCCTTGCAATTTCTCAGTGGAGAACTGAAATTATTAATCTAAATTCGAATTCGTGGGTAAAAATGTCTGAAGAAGCAAGAGAATGCATAAGAAATCATGGAACTTCCACACTTCCATTTCACCCCATGACAGCCCCTTTGCCACCCCCAACCAATCGACTCTTCTTTTCTTCAATGTGAAAGCAGATGATTTGGGCGCTTAAGGTGTGCTTGGGTGGGTGAACAGGTGAAAAAACTCTGAATTTCATGCATGAAGGTGTGTTCGCACCATTCCAATTCATATTTTATGTGCGGAAGCATTGATAGAAGCGCCTTCGTGTGTCTCTTTTATGAGCTTTCGCCACCCCTTTCGCCCCCTCCCCCATCAATGTGCCGCCCTCACGATAAGGCGAAGACGGAAGAGAGGCCCATAAATTAATTTTCACCCAGTGATAGAAATTTATGAATAAGGTCGAATGGCGCTTTGTGCGAGGCCATTTCGGGAAAGCTCGCACTTTTGCGTGGCTTTTCTGTGTCGTTTGGTCACTTAGTGATGTCGGCCAATAAATCAAGGAATGTTGATTTTCCCGGTGAAAGCATTCCAATGCTTTTGAGAGTGGCGCGCCTTCGACTGGGAAATCATGTAATATTCCATGTGTGCAGAGTTGGAAGTTATTCAGAGTCAAGCGACTGATTGAATGCCACCCTTTTTGCAATGCTGGGGCGAGAGATTGAAGTGATTGCCTGAAATGGGACTAAATGTCACGTCTAGATGGAACCTACATTCTGAACGCCCCCATGCGTCATCTTTGCTGCT